TTCAAAATCAATGATAAATTTTCTCTTCCACATAAACTAAACACAAGTAAAAATGCACATTTTGCGAACCTCACTCCCCATGGGGGTTTTTTGATGATGTTCACCTAGTCAACTCACCATAGATCTTTTTGATGCCAGCGATATCGTCGTTACTCAAGTCAGCGGTTGAGTAGCAGCAGCTTGGCCACATGACGGCACCGTCAACATTAGAGTGTTTAAGCCCAAGGGCGTGGCCGATCTCATGGGTGGCTACCTGTGGTAAGGGTTGCTTGAATAAACCGTGATTCTCATAYGCTGACCACCATTCCTTCTCATCAAAATGAACACGGCCATCTTGAGGCGCGAAGGCATGGGCAAGAACACCGTTCCATCCATCAAAATTACTACTGCACTTCCTCTCCCCAGGGAMACCGGAGTGCTCACTGTACCCAAAGCTATGTACAAAATATATGCAATTAATTTAGAACACAAATATCAGAGATAAAGCTAAAACARTTATCTCCAAAATGACTGCAGATAATTAGTCGAATTTAATTTAATTAATTTAATACAAGATAACGATACAAAGCAATGTGGGAATTGCTCCAGAAGTCTTATGAGCATGCGCGCTAAGTAAATTACCACCTTAACATGAAAGACCGTACAGGGGCTTTGAAAACTTACTAGAAACCTATATTGGACTTAATTACTAGTTTCATACTTTACTACTTTACGTTGTCTCGAAGGCCAATCATCAGTCCCCTTCACCATTATCTTACTGCAGAGCTATTTAAACTAGGATAATAAATTATCGTATTTTGCAATAAATAAACAAACATTTTTTTGGACGTACGAACAGTGAGAGAAATTTTTACCGGTTTACCAACCTCAATCTGAAATTTGCTCTTCTGGGATCCATTGTTCTTGTAAACTTGAGTCTCGGTGCCGCCTTTGACCATGCATCTCTCAAACGCTTCCTTAATAATTCTTACTTGATCAGCCTCATACAAATCTTTACCAAACTGCAGATAATAGGTCAAGTCGGTCTTGTACCACCTATACCCCCACAGGACGTACCTACGTACACGGGTGGGGAAGTCTTCAACTAATATCTGCTACACCACATCGAGGTTTGGCCATTTCTTTCAGCGTGAGTTCGTCCAGTTTTCCTGTCRCTGGGAGATGCATGAACGTCTGGTACATTCTGATGGCTTTTCCCACGTCATGGTTACCTGAGCGAGCTCGATTGGAAAGATAGCCATACTTGTGCAAGAAATTCTAACAATGAAATGAAGCCATTATCAAATGTACACTTTATCAAAGACCTAAGAACATAAAAGTTGCCATCAAACGAAAGGAACTGGTACGCATGGGAGGGGGGACCCAAGACTTTTAAAAGGGGCGGAGTTGTAGGGAAATGGTTGTAAAAGCCTTTAAATCGGTCACGTGACACAGTCTTGAATTATGATGCTGTTATATACGTTGTAAAGAAAAGCAGCCGAAATATATCTGCTCAAAATAAATAAACATTAACGTGCAAGTTTCCCTGTCATTTTTTTTATCAGTAACAAAATTTTGTCAGTCATCATAAAGCTAAGGTACTCAAGTGTAAACTTGCTATCCAACATCTCCCCGCTTAAAAGAAAGCAGACTGGAAAATAGCGACAAACAAAGCTCGAAAGAAAAATACATGCTACACAAGAAAAATATCAGACCAGGATACTATTAGATAGATAATCCAAAGCCAAAGCCTG